TGTAATACGCCGCTGGCAAAAATTTTTGAAACAATAGTATTAATAGTAATTCTGCGTATAATTTCTGTAGTTAGTGTACACTATTTTTAAAGGTAAAAAAATATTGTGTAATCGGAATAGAAATGTAAGACGTATTTTTATTAAAAGTAAAAGTTATTGTAGAATTCACGATTTTTTTCTTATATCATTTTGCAGAAATTGTAGAACTTTACGATGAAGATTGGTGACACACGGAAACTTTTGAGTTTTCTGAACTCGCAATAATCTTTACATTATATATCGATAGCTTAGAGAAATAGTTAAAATTCTCGCGGTCCTATTAAATTACTAAGCATAAAAAGCATCCTTTTTTTTATATAATAGTTTATATAATGCGTACAAACGATGACTAACTACGAAATACGATGTAAATGGCTATTGCAAGAACATGTATACTGCATTTCACGTTATGTATATTGCTTATAATCAGATATTTATGTATTTTTTAGTGGTACCGACAATTAACAAAACATATAAGGAAGCTTAATTTTGATATATCTTTGTATTTTGATTATACATATGGAAAATACTTCCGGAATACAAGTTAGGATGTCGATGTATATCAACGTATACGTATGTATACATCGCTTATGGTCGGTCCCAACATATGCCGAACCATAAAGATATATATATACATATATATATGTATATATATATATATATATATATATATATACATACAATTTCTGTAACTTTTAAAACAAATATCTCAGAAACAGGTCGGACAATCAATCGCAAATTTAACACAAATTTTTGGGATATGTAAGGTAAAAGTACCAATGACGGGCCATGTCCCATTACTTGGCCATTGATGGATATTTTATTTTTTGTTAAGCTATATACATAAAGTAAAAAAAATATTTTTACTGATTTATGTTATTTGGTTATTCAGTGTCTTATATAAAAAATTATGCCACTAAACATTTTGTTTAAAATATTAAAAAAATTGTTTGAATTATCGTAGTCAAATGCACCGTGAGTCTTCATAGATTCTTTAAGATATGGCTAAGGAAAGTGTGATTCTTGTTAAGATGATAATAATCATAATATTAGATATTTCTGCATAAATAAAGTTTCTACACAATTTTAAGAATATTTATAATAAATAAAAAATGAAAAATTGCTCATTTAAATTGTTTCTTCAATAAAAATTTGCATGGCTATGAATCGGTATGTGACAATCTTGCCTGCCCGAAAACTAGCCGGCTGTCCAGTTATCGGGCGAATCGTCATCTCATGTGCTTACTTGTGTGTCCTAATATCTAGCCGCAACACGCGTTCGAGTTTTTGTGCTTCGTTTTTAAGTTTTCTGTACGAAATTTGTAAGTATATTTATTGTAAACATTACTTATTGTAATGATAGTGTACTAAATTGTATATTTTTTCTGTTTTATGCATTTCTTTCGTTCATTTTTATTGACATGTAGTATATAACCTCAAATTGTAAATTCTTTGCCTGTCTGTTTTTGGAACCAAGAAAAGAGAACTTTCATCTGACAAATACTTTTGACAGATATGGATGTCTAGTAGATTTAACTTTTGTAAATGTTCTTTTACTTTTCTGAACTAATTCTTTAAAACATCTTAATTCTGTTGCTGATGCTGAATTTATTGTCAAATTTTGAGCGATTCTTGGAATCACATCTGGATGTCTACGACAAAAACTTTTTCTATCAGTATCTGCCTAGTTCATTATCCTTGAAAGAAGACTCAGTGATCAGTTTCTGCACTGCACACTGAAGATATTGAGATTTTGTTACAGGGAAACCTCTTTGGCTGCAATATAAAATCCAGTCAACATCTTCAATGTCTGCAGAAACTTATCACTGAGTCTCCTTTAAAGGATAATAAACCAGGCAGGCACTGGTGGAAAAGTTTTTGTCGTAGACATCCAGATGTGACTCCAAGAATCGCAAAAAATTTGACAATGAATTGAGCATCAGCAACAGAAGATATTTTAAAGAATTAATTCAGAGAAGTGAAAGAACATTTACAAAAGTTAAACCTACTGACATCCATCTATCAAGAGTATTTGTTTTAGATTAAAGTTCTTTTTTCTTAGTTTCAAAGGCAGACAGTGTATTAATGGCTCGTAAAGGATCAAAGTCTTTATAAAATTGTACATGCATGCATGGTGATGAGAAAGAAAGCATAACTGTTTTGTTCAATGTAAATGCTAAAGGTACTATATTAACACTTATGTTACCACTTATGATCCTTTTCTGATATAAAAGGACACCAACAACTATTATAAACAGTCTGTTAAAATGTGTTGTATTGAAGTTTTAAGTGATTTAAATCTAATTATTAAATTAGTAGTAAAAATAAATTATTTATTAAATTGTAAAATTATTTTTTAATTAATAATAAATAAATTTATTTATTTAAAACATTAATAATAAAAATAAATCATTTATTAGACTGTAAAAACTTTTTCTAAGACTAGATATTTTCTAACCTCTATATCTTTTCTAACCTACTAGCATTTCTTTATCCAATATTTTTATATTTTTAACTTTTCTAATGTTTTTTTATTAACTTATTTATTATATTCTTCTTGCTTTTACTCTGCAAAATAAAATTCCTTTCATTAAAATTATTTTAATACACTTAAAAAGTCATGGCTAGTTACTAGGACCTCATAATTTGGACGCTGGGACAATCGCATTTTGGCTGGTCATGTATTGGGACATCGATGTCTACTACATTTTTATTTAATTTAAATAAAATACCGCAAAAAATATTACTTTTTTTACTCGTTTAAGTAGAAAATAGTTATAACTTCCTAAATAAAAAAGTTTTTTGTAGCATAAAATTAATTTTATGTATTAGATTTAAGTCTGATCTACAATGTGCTTTTTGCTTCCTGTTTTTTGCTCTTAACCTGTTTGCGACTATCCCGTATTTCGCAATTGCGTCGCGTAACGCGATGTTTTTTGTTCTCTGTCGCCTAAGATAAAAATTGACGAACTTCAGAAGAGACAAGAAACATCACGTTACGCGACGGAATTGCGAAATACGAGATAGGGCCAAAGCACATAACATGGCGTAGCGATATACGACGGTCGTAATCCCCGACCTGACAGATCAGGATACGCCAAAGCTTGTGCGTTACTTACGTCCACGACTTACGACTGTCATATGTGCTTTGGCCCATAGTCGCAAAGAGGTTAAGAACAAAAAACAGAAAGCAAAGAGCACATTGTAGATCAGCCTTTAAGATTTATTTTCTTCGTATGCTTAAGTGGCCAGTTATTGGTACTTTTACCTTAAGTGCACAATCTCTGTAAATTTCAGCTTTATCCCTTTATTTTGACATAAGCGACATACATCTTTAAGTAATTTTTTATAAACCAACTAATAACATTCTGAAATCTAAACTTTTGGGAACTAAAGTTGATCATGTACTTTTTTCATTACATTTCTTTTTCTCTATTTATAAATACAATTGGGTTTTATTTTGTTCTTTTTTTATTTTATTAATTAAAACTAGTGACACCAGGTTTTAAGTAAAATAATTTTTTATTTTTATTTTACTAAAAACCTGTGTCATTAGTTTTAATTAATAAAATAAAAAACAAAATAAAAACCAATTTTATTTTGATTGTATTTAATTTCTTGTTTTAATTTATTTAACACTTAACTTGATACCCATGCTTTGCTACTGTAACACACATTTATCTCTTTTTATCTCCTTAAGGGTCGAATTTCTAAAAATCATTTCTTATGGGTGCTTACGTGAAAGAAATGTACTCCCCGAATTTTATGTTTCTATAGGTTTTTAGGGGTTCTAGGTTTGGGCTAGACGTTGATAAGTCAATCAGTTGATAAGTCAGTCAGTCAATCAGTCAGTCAGTTAGGACATTTGTTTTTATATATATATATATATATATATAGATTAAAAATACTAATTAATAAATTATAACTTTACGTTCACGAAATATTATCATTTGTTGACAAAAATTTTTATACATATATTTTATTTTATTTTATTTTCGAATAAAAAATAACGAACAAACATGTTTTATTGTGAATATAACGAATAATTTTAATAATAAATAATTCAATAAACAAATAAAAAGTAATGAATAAAAAATTATTCGTTATTTGTAATCGAATAAATTTTTATTCGATTAATGTACAACACTGATATGTGTGTGTGTGTGTGTGTGTTGCTGCGCGCGCTCGCTCGCGTGTCTCTCTCTCTCTCTCTCTCTCTCTGTGTGTTGCTGCGCGCGTTCGCTCGCGTCTGTGTGTGTGTGTGTGTGTGTGTGTGTGAAAAAGTACTAGCAATACTATAATAACGTGAGTATAAGCGTTTAAAACCACATTACTCTGTAACTTTCTCCCGTGGTTTTGTTTTACGCGACTTAACTGCTAATGGACGAATCCTATTATCGGTGCCCCTGGAGCTCCAAAGGGTGTCCACGAGAGTAGACAAACAAGGGAAGTGAGACTTTCAAAAATTGGTTTATCGGAGTATACTTTACAAAGAAGAAAGTAACAATTGTATTTATCCAATTTTAATACTTAATTTGGGGTTTTTAAAAATATTTTTCTTGTAACGTCATTTTTCGTATATCAAATTTTTGTCGAGAGAAGAATTTAGATTTTATGATTTTTATGGAGATGAATTTAAATTCCATGGGTTATAGAGATAAAAATTATAAAACATTTTCAAATATTTTAAAATATTTTCACCTGTAGAAGCCCGTACTTGACCTCCAACTCGTGCAGCTCGTACTCTTTGACGAGGGTCGACCGGTGGTGGCTGGTGGTCGGCGGGTGGTTCTGCTTGCCCATCAGCCCCGAGGATTGCGCCGTGAGCGCGTTTGCCAATTGTTCCTTGTACGCCAAGACGTTCGCCAGGCTTGCGAGGACTGGCTCCGACGCGAAGGCCAAGGTGTCCGCACACTCCTCCACTTTATACGCCTAAATCGCCGGTCAAATATATCGCGTATTGATCTACGGAGTGGCTCGCGAAAACACTCGAACGGCAATATATGTTTATCGGCTGAAAAAGCTCGAGTGAATTCGCGTGCCGCGAATACCTTGCGTATGCACGTACCTGAAGAAGCTTCGGATGCGAGTACCGCTCCATCTGAGCAGCGCCCCTGCGCAGGATATCCGTGACTGTTTCCCGGCGTTTCGGTTTGTGCAGCTTCTCCACGGACCGTTTGTCGAACAGAAAAATCGAGACCTCCTGCAACCGAGCCAAACACTTGCACTCTTTTTCTATCCACTGTCGTCGAGCTCTATGAATCGCGAGTTTAGAAAATTCAAACGCAAAAATCAATCTTCTCTCGGCCAAGTATATTAGATTCGAGATCGAACGAATCATTCTCGCACTTGAATCTTTCAGAACCCAAACTTCCGAATCCGAATTAATTCAAATCTAATCTGCGATTTGATCCACTTCTCTTTCTATTTCTTTATCCGGATATTATTAGAGTCGCATTGCATCGTTAAAAAAATAGGAAATTATAATAAATCACGGTTAAAGATATCGACGTTGATAGGAATCGGTCGTTAGCGATAACTAATCCGTTTATTGATATCGCTATATCGTTTAAGAAACGCTAAGAAAAAGGAAATAAAAAAAATAAAAGGGGCAAAAGGGAGTTCTCCCGCGACTAATTTACCATCCCATCCTTTTTCCGATAGCCGTCGTATATGCGCCAGACGTTCTCTGGTCCGGCCGTAGCGGACTGCTTTCCGATTTCATATGTGTTACGTATCGAATCGGGAAGCAAGTCGCACGGCGCCGTGCTGCTGCCTCTGGACTTCGCGAACATGATGATGGCCAGCCAGCCAAAGGCCCTTCAGAGAATCAGCGTTGACCTCGCCCGTTTATTATCTGCCAAACCAAAATCACGTTGGCCACGTTATTCTATCGTTTTAGGGAAAGAGGGGTTATGTGAAGGAGAATGGCGAAATATAAGTGTAATATCGGGAAAACGATTTCTATATTCGTTCGTGACAATGGAATACGCTGCGATGTGAGGTTCGTTTTCCCGTACCTGTGTAACACGTGAAAATCGGATTTGTCCAAATTACATCGATTTTAAACATCACTTTTATCGCTGCCATTGTTACGCACAAATTTTTGTAAATTCGCGCGACCATACGAAAAATAGACGAATTGAGAGAAATTCGCTCCGCGAAATTGCTCCGATCATCGCAAGAGCAGAAATTTAAATTGTTTTTTATTTTGTTCTTTCCTCTATTCATATTGTTCTCTGACAAGATAAATGACGATAATTAAAATAAGTTTTATTAAGAATTGAAAGATTACAGGGATTGGTCGGCAAATTTAAAGAAATAGAGAAGGAGAGGGAGAGGGAGAGAGAGAGAGAGAGAGAGAGAGAG